TCAATGCTAAGCCCAAGCCCATTGAGAGATTTTCTAAAAATCCTAAACCCTAGATCTCACATCCTCTATATATTCATTAGTTGTGGGTGGAGGCTAGGTTAGATTGAGAGAAAATTATTTGAGAGATTTGTGAGCAAAGCTTTGAGCTTTGTATTTTAAGAGATTTCGAGAGAGAGTTTGAGTGAAACATCTCTAGGGAAGTTTGATTATCACCATTGTTGGAGAGGTTGAGTTAACCACCACTTTGGTGAATCTTGATTCTTTGTACCCATTATTTTCATAGTGGATGTTTAAACTAGACTAGGTCCCGTGGATTTTTACTTATTTATTGGAGAAGGTTTTTCCACGTTAAAACTGCTTGTGTTCTCTTTCTCTCTCTCCCCTTTATATTTTATTTTTTCCGCTGCGCTGCCCGACCTGGTGAAGTTCAGGCTAAAGTAAGATTGTCGAGATCCGAGATTGACTGACTTCTGCAAAAAGGCTTCTGAGCCGAGTTGAGGGAACCGAGTTCCCAACAATCTTGATCTCGTTGAAAATATAAAAGAGAAATCTACAACTTTTATGAAGAAAACAAGATCCAAATCCATCATCTTCGATATGAAAAATTGGCTAAAAGACAGCTTCAAGAAGGTTTGCACTAAATTATTGCTCCTCATTTATCGTTTTAAGTTCTTCTAGCTTAACCGTTACTCCAATGCTCCATAATAGCAATTTAAACTTAAAACCAATATATTTTTAAGTCATATCATATCAAACATTAGAAATTCCAAAGTCTTTTGCATTTAATAATACACACCATGTCTTTAACCATATTCATCAATATTTAGTATACTTTTGACCCTAAAGATATGATATAATTGACACTTAACAATTAGTTACATGGTTTTATATTACTACATGAAAATTTTGAAGGATTAATGTTTTCATATTATTAAAAATAATTTTATCTTCTACACACGCATAAAAATAGATGGAGTCTATGTGAAGTTATATAAATAAAAGAGAGAAAAAAAATGAGCATCATACACTTTTATATAGATAAAATTATTTCTTAGAAGAAAAAAAATACTAATCCCAAATTTTAAACCAAGAGAACTCTATATTTTTTCTAGGTGCGCATTGAACTTTGTGAAAGTTTGTGGGGACAAGGGCAGAGCATGCATGTTGCTTAATCCGTTGCGGTTGCTTTAATGTTTAAGTGCCTAGTAAACTATGGACCCTCAACTTATTTTTTCTTTTGTGTTTCTTGGGTTTGAAGCTCTCCAGTAATACCAAAATAAAAAAAAAAAGTCACCTTAATAAAGACCGCTTGCTTTTTCCACAAATATTAAGCTGTTGTATTAAATTCTCAATAGAAAGCTGTTCTGTACAACACATGAATTCATTTTTTATGTGGAGTTCATAATAAAGTATATGTAATTTTAAATGACACAAGTTAATTATGTCATTTCATAGATTTGGTGATATTTACATTTTTATTTTGTCGTTTTAAATGATATAAGTTAAAAAAATATAAATATAAATCTCATTTCTTTATGTATATGAAATGACACAATTTGTATCATTTAAAATGACATACATTTTCTTGTTAATAGATAAATAGATAGATAGAGAGAGAAGGGATAAACTTATATCAGTGTAAGAATAATAACTCTTATACTCAATCTTAAGCGTTGATTTCTATTCATCAAATGATTGAAATTAATTAAATTATTTCCTTAATTAATTATTGATTACAACCGTTAAATATGTGAAAATCAACTGTTAAGATCGAGAGTAAAAGTTGTTACTCCTACACCGGTGTGTAGGGGTGTAAATGGGCTAAGTCGGCCTACATTGGCCTATGACCTAGCCTATATTAGGTCAGATTTGGCCTACTATAAATAGTAAAATAGAACAAGCCTAGGCTTTTAAAAAAACCTATTTAGAAAACAGGTCATTGACTTTTTTTGTACATGTCGGGCCTATAAGCCTACAGGCCGACCTATATCATATTATTTATTTAAGATATAATAAATAAAATTATTATTTTAATAATTTTGAATAATAAAATAATATTATTTTAGTTATTCTTTTAATTGTTGAATATTTAATAGGTTTAAACAGGCTAACATGCCTAGGCCAAAGTTTTTATTTTTTAAATATAGGCTTGACCATACTATTAATTTGAAGCTTACACGGGCTAATAGGCCAGGCCATACATAATATTTTTTATATAGACCCGGCCTATTTAAGCCAAAGCCTAACCTATTTAGAGCCTAGGTGTGTGGTTCTATATGTAAAGGCAATAACTTTTTATTCTGGTATTTCTTTCAGAGCAAAAGCCACAAATTTGTCTTTCGTGATACATTTTTACAGATTCAGATGTTTTTGTAAGTCATGTATTCCTTTGAAAAGTGCTTCAGAAAATACTTTTCAAAGCTTTTACCAGCCATTTTATGAACCAACATAAAAGATATAATAACTTTATTCACATTTTACCTAACAATAATTAAATGTTCTTCTACAACAATTTTTCACAAAATCTGTAACTCACACCTTTCAAAAAGTGGAAGTATTTATATTACTATAAACCCTTCTGGTAACTGAAAGCATTTGAATAAAGTATAGGGGAAGAGGAGAGCTTCTAAATTACAACAAAACTACTAATTAATTAAGATAGCAATTAAGGACCATTATTAAGTAGAAGCTGAAACCAATGAAAAGGGCATCCCAATATATTTGATAATCATGGTGAGCGACAGTGACTCAAGTGTCATCATGATAACAAAGAAAACAGTTTTCTATTCCTCTCACAGTCTCATATGCACAAGTCCACTAGGATTGCAGAAGATAAAACGGATGCAAGCGAGATGGACTTGCATCCCACACTATTATAACTGGAACAAGTGAATGAACTCTATAATTATATACTATATCTTAGAATTATTACAATTATTGTGTGCTGCAATTAATTATAATTTTTTATTTTAATAAAAATATGCTAAATCATTATCTATATAGGATGCAATATAAAATCCACTTAAGTGATTTTATATTTTTTGTTGGGGTTTGAATATTACTAATATTGAATAGTCATCACAACTTGCCCCATTTATATTTGTGAACAATAAGTGATGTGAAGTTCAACGTTTTTTCAAAGACCTTACATAAATATCAAAATAAATACGAATAACCTTATAAGATATCTAGAATCATGTCTATAGGCCTAAACCTTTGATGTTCTAATGATACATAATCATAATTCTATTTTTTCCTACATTAACCATTTATTTATTTATTTGGTAACACTCAACAATCCATTGAATATGTAAATATATCATATAATCACACTAGTTTGCTTATAAAAAATTTAACATTTAATGTTGTAATTTATTCAGCATGAAGTTCAAGTATTTCTCCAACTGGATAAGGAAGTACTTTTAGATCATATCTTTTTCGTTTTCCTTAATTGTATCTCTGTGTGCTGTCTGGCGTTAATTCAAGTGCAAACTTAATTAAATTTAACCAATAAATTTCTCTCAATTGTTAATTACTCCATTACACAGGTCAGGACAGGATACAAGTTTCAGAAAACTTTATTTGGCTACATGAAAAAGATGTGCCAACGAAGAACCACAGGGTATAGCAGGCATATTCCTTCTTATATGGATTGAAGGAACTCACGTTGAACCAATCCTCCATTCAGCTTGTTCGATTGTCAAACCGACACGCAAATGGAAAAGATTCTTTTAAACTGATATTGTTTTTAAAGTGAATAAGTAAAAGACTGTATCATTATACACTTCAAATCAAGGGAAAAATATAAATACCTTGACTTTGTCTATATTTTAGAGAGATGATCACTTAAAAAAATTCTTATCTCAAGCATATACCTTAAATCTTAAAGGAGTGTTCTAGAAGTCTAGACTCATTCTATAAGACTGTTGTTTTGAATGTTACATTCCTTACAATTAAGAGGCACTATATATATATAGTCTTGTTATTAACATCCGGACTTGGAAATTAAATAGAAACCAATAAGTATATATACCTTATAATTACACAAGGTTCAATATTTTCATGTGAAGTGTCTTGAAATATAAAAATGTCGACAAACATTAACACAATCGTAAATATGTAAATTAGACAAGCAAGCGACATTGGTAAAGGAAAATCTCTATCAGTACGATGTAAAAAAGACCAAGTTACGTTGGCTTAATTTTCCACTGACCAAATAGCTGAGAAAGTATAACTATAAATTCCTTCATGACTTTATCTACTAAACCAAGACATTTGTACTTTTTACATGGAGATCTATTCAACATATGTATAACATTTTTTGTTACATGTGTTTATCATATATAATATCCGTAAACTAAAGGTGTAATGGGGGAAATGAAGAAATGCAACATGTGTTATCATTGAGCAACCAAAGTAGCCTGCCCAGAAAACTCATGTAATCTCTCTCTGTGCTTTTGCCTTTAAGTGAATATTATTTATTTCAGAGAATTAAGGGAGTAAATCTCTATGGGGTTTCTGAATCAAATTTATCTGTTACTTTGGGATTTTTTTGGCACATTCAGTTACTTTGGGATTCCCATTACTGAGTAACATTCCAAATATTCCATAACAAATTAAACCTGTTGTATTTAAGAAAGGAAACTAAGATATCATTGAAGTATCTAGGGACTGTATTTAATAAGTCAAATTTTTTAGGATCTTTGCTAGGTCCATAAACAAATTAAACCAATTTAGCTCATAGACTCGTACAAAACCAGAGTTACAATACTTTTCCATCAGAATTTCACTATTATTCTACTACTTACTCTGATTACACTAGATTAAACAAAACAATAAGAGGATGGGTTTCCATTTCCAATTATATAATATCAACATTTCTATGCTTCCTAGCTTATTTATGGGAACAGAATAGTGCATATGCTTCACAATATGCAGCATATCAATTCAAAATTGATAAAACTTGTCTTCACCAATTCTTTCATGCAGAATCTGTTCTTTCATGAATCTGATCGACTGTATCCAAAAGCCACTGAATGTAGGTCCTCCACTTCATGAAAGGCCCACGATCTCATGTTTGTTTGGAAGTCATAGGACATTGAGTTATTAGAACTCTCCTCAAAGCTAGAAAATGAGCTACTCTCTTCCTTGACTCCTGAACATTCATAATCCCCAATAGGGTTTAGATCCATGAAAGCATTGTTCCCATAATATTGTGTTGCTGATGAATTATTAGACAAGTTAGGAAGAAATTCTGGCCCCAGGTTGGAATTTTCCCCATGGAACCAACTTTGAAGATCTTGGGGAAAAGCATTAGATCTTTCAAAGTGTTTTTCATTAGGGTTTTTATTGGTAGATGCATTGAAACAACTCTGAGCTGCTTGTTCTTTGAGATAAGCTAGCTGTGCTTGTAAATTTACCACCTACAAAAGATCAAAGCAAAAGTGCACCTATTAAATTACAAAGCACAAATTGGCTAGGGTTTTCAATTACATACTAATTAATTAAGATTTCCTTTAACTCTTGAGAGGGAAACCAAACCTGCTGCTGGAGTGCAAAAATATGGGAAACACAGCCATAAATTGGATCCTGAAGTCTAGCTTGAGCTTCATATGAGATTGTGACTGCAGCTTCACAACGATCAGTTACAGGGAGATGAGCTAGGAGCTTTGAGACATTGCTTGCACCAAAGACCTTATGAATGGCTGAAAAATGAGTAGCACCCTGCTCGTGGCAAAAGTAAGGTGCAAAAACACAACCTTTCAAACATTTCCTTCTCAAGAATTTGCAGGCTCCACAAGGAGAACCAGAACCAGAACTAGAACCAGAACCTGAACCTGAACTATTCATCTTGGCCTTTTGGGGTTTGATATCAGTTCTTTGAGGATTTTGATTGTTTTAGCTCTCTTCAGCTTTGTGCAAATCATAATCATTTATCACCATCTTTATATACACCGGAGCAAGAGGAAGGGATGGATTAGAATAAGGAATAATTAATAACATTTGGTTCCCTTAATGGCCTACAGTATTCATTATTTTTTCCCCCTCATACAATATACTCTATCATCCCCCATTCTAAATGTTTATTTATCTTAAAAATGAGCTAGCATTAACCAAACCCATTTTGTTTGATGATTGAATATTCTTCTACTGCTCTTGTCCTTTCTTTTCTGAATAATATATGTAAAGAACCAATTCAACCTAAAAGCTTAAGTTCTTGGATGAGACTATATTAATGATTTTATATATGGTGGAAGTGTCCAAGGCCTTGTAAAGGCCACATTAGTTGCCCATCCCACAATCAATGTGAGACTATATATCTCAATACGCTCCCTCACACGAGAGTCCATTGGGCTTGGTTTTATATATGGTGGGAGTGCCCAAGGCCTTATAAATGCCACATTAGTTGCCCATACAATTAATGTGAGACTATATATCTCAACACGCCTCTTCATACTAGAGTCCATTGTGCTTGAAGCGTGGATTATGCATATTTAATTCCACTTTAAAGTGGGGGCGGTGAGGATCGAACTCGTGACCTTACAGTCACTCGAGCTCTGATACCACGTAAAGAACCAATTCAACCTAAAAACTTAAGCTGTTGAATGATGCTACATTAATGATTTTATATATCACAAGAATATGCATCGCTAACTTTAAGTGATAACGCAAGTACATATTTATTGGATTACTTATGTATATATACTTGACCCAAAGATCGAATATGAGAATAGAATCAGAACTGCAGGGTTAATAATTGTTTACTAATTAAAAAACTTGTTACAGCTTTATCGTAAGTTAGTTACTTATGTATTAATTAATGCAGTTGATGATTTCTGTCTACAGGAACAACTGATTGAAACTTGGAAGCTAGGATTATCTACCATTATACGACAAAAGAATTAATTATTCTAATAATGGCCAACTGTTACCCAACACTTTTTTTTTTTTAAATAAAAATTTTCCATACGTGCATAATTTTGAAGTTCGTATCATAGTGATTAAAACTGATGGACCTGACCGGGTCGATCTGGGAATCGATAAATCGATCATATAACCGGTTTGGTTGAAGCAACGGACTGATCATGCATCAAAATCGGTGTGACCCGGTCCGACCCAATCGGTTTTCATAAAAATAGGTGACTCGGTCGGTTAACCGGTGACCCGGCTCGGTCCAAAAAAAAAAAAAAATATTCCAAATTTTTGTTTTTAAAAAAAAATATCATAATAGCCATATTTGAATATTTTTTTACTTATTGACTTACATAAGTTATGTACCTACAATACTAATATTATCTCAATTATGTACTATGCATAAAATTTTGAATTAATTTATAGTTAGAGATGTCATTTTCTGAACCTAAAGCCCTGTATCATGATCATTATATTTTTTGTTTGATTTTTTATTTGATAATAATATGTGATTTATTATTTTTTGTATTAAAATATTTGAATTTTTTTTATCATTTTTTAGATATTTGAGTATGTTTATAATTTTTTAATATAAATTATAAAATTGCATATAATTACCGGGTCATGCGGTTGAACCAGTGACCACTGTTTGAACCAGTAACCCGGTACCTCGATCGGGTTAATGACCGGGTCGGTTTTAATTAATAACATTGGTTCGTATTATAATTTTTATTCCTAATCATTTATTTCTATGAGTTAAGAAAACTGAATATCATACTTTTAGCTAGAACGTACAACCTAGAGAAAACACTATTGTTTGGGTAGTTTTTTCGATATCAAGACCAGGGTTTTTGTCTAAATGTTTCCCATTAGGGTATTATAACTCTACTGCATAGTTAGCACATTGGATCATTAACCCAAATTGGAATGCGAGAAAAAGACTGAAAGGCGCGCTTAGTTTAATTTATCCATGATGGCACAAATTTCTATGACATGTAGTTGTAAATTTGTAGTGGCATATAGAAAAATATTTTCACTAATCACTTAATGAAAATGGGAAAAATAATTAATTTAACACTATTTATCTTACCCTATGATTAATGCCACGTGAATTTTATTTTTTATATTTATTTTAGATAAAGAGAAAATCTATTGAGAGAAAATATTTTTGGTACTCCAGGAATACTGATTATTAAGTGTTTCCTTTACCAAGCAACATTTTTATATTACCCTTATTTTTATATTTATTTTCACTCATATCCCATTTTTCCCCCCTTTTTTGGATAAAGATCATATGCTGCTGGAGCACAGAAAAATTTATTCTACTAAGAAGCACTGAAATTATGCTAGGCACATAGAGAGTATGAACATTTAGGGCTATAACTTCACCATGCCATTTGCATTCAATACAAGTTTAAACCAATAATTATCTAATTAACGTATGTATACTAGCTAGTGGGGATAATTGGTGTGTTTGAACAGGCACTCATTATTGTTTGTAATAAGAATGATCGATTAGACATTAAATATGAAACAAATGTCAACATTTGCTGGTGGATTCTTGTTGCGAGAGTAATAATTGTCCTGTAAGTACAGGTAATCTAAGCGTAAAGAAGCCCTGAACAAAATATATAAAAGAGAGAAGATTCCAAACAATGAGTGAAACAAAAATTAGTGACACTAGTCTAGAACACAAAAGAAGCTATTAAGAGAGAGAGGGAAGTGGCGAGGGAGAGAAGATTTTGTTGCCCTTTCTACACTTGGGAATTGTTTAAGCTTTGGAGGTCAGGTTTGTCTAGCAATACCGTATAAATTATCATTTAACAAATATTGCACATATTCATTCATAACTTTCAATCACTTTCTTCTGTCTAGTATAGGCACCAACATGTAGACCTCACCCAAATGTATAATGAGGCCCCACACTGAAACATAGCTAATTATAACACCCCAACAAAAAGCTACAAAATAAAATAAAATAATCGTGCATTATTTATTTATTTTTTCAGGGGAGGGGGAAGTTGGACAAATAAATGGTCCTAATCTTCTTTTCAGGTTTGTGAATTCTTGATCAATTTGAAAATTAATGTAACCAAACAAGGGAATTGGTATTTGCAAGAAAAAACATTTCTGTTCCATGAAAATGGCATGTGTGTCTTTCCAGATTTGAAACCCAAATGGAGTGCATAGGCTTTCTAAATCTCCCCCGATAATTTTGGGTCACCCTTAAACCCTTAAGGGTAGGGTATACAAACTGATTTAATCTAATTAATGTCAAACTGGTTAACAACAAATTCATTAATTATTTATCTAACGAATGAAAATTACTTAAAAAATGATATAATTAATTATTTCTCTAACTAAATTAATCATATTTAATTTTATGTGAAATCACCTAAAGGTAAGAGTGTCAATTCGGATACATGAATACATTAATACAAACACGACACGAATTTTTATTTGTGCCAAAACTTTCAACATGAACACGATTCATAAATTCTGCAGGTTGACACGACACGAATAATACACAAATTAAAAATTATGAGTTCTTGACACTAATACATATCACTTTTTGTATGAATTGACACAAGAAGACAAAAATTGGTCAAAACGGCAAATAGCTAAAAAAACATGGGTCAAATACGTGTTTTTGTCTTGACATGTGATAAGACACGAATTTTTGTATGTCATATTTTGTCAATATAAACGCGACACAAATTTAAATGTGGGTCAATTCAAACGCAATTTTCTTGTTGTATTTGTGTTGTGTCAGCATGTCAGATCAAAAATTGACACCCCACTTAAGGTACTAAAATTTCTCAGCAGTAAGTTAGAATACTCCAACAAATTTTAGCATATATAAATAGGGTTTACAAGGCTACACTATGGCTGCCATTGGATGAAACAGATCCATTTGTACCCACCAACCAGGACTTTTAGCCCTGCAGGGTCCTCATTGAATGCCATTATCATCCCGCAAAGATGAATGGTTTTGTGTCATCCGTATAATTGTTTGCCACTTACAAATAGCAGCAACGAGTGCTGTAGGAGACAAAAGGCATATGTACACCAATGGCTCCGGGTTTATTTAATTAAGTTATAATCCCCATTAGATATGATTGTTTAAGGAGGACTCTGCTAACTATATTATCACACAATAGGAAGAGAGCAGTACTGGTATATATACACACACCCATTTTCCTTATAATTAGACATTTGTACCAGTTAACTCTCTAAAAGTTAATTTAGGTTGATAAGCAAAGTTACATGAATAATTTTTATATTATATTTTTAATTATAGTAAAAATTTATATTATAACTTAACACATCCCGTAGCGCAAGAGTCATTTTTTGTGCTGGCTGAAAGCGTGAATATTATACAAATTCATGCCAAAAGTTTTGTTGTCGAGCATCTTTCTTATGCTGAAATTCCATTCTTTTATTAAAAGAACGGAGCGGCCAGCAATAACTTGGTTAGAGAGAATCTGATATATATTCTGAACCAACTCTCTCAAAAACTTAAATGGTTAAACAAAAGTACATAAATAATTTGTATATTATATCTCTAACCATGTTAAACAATTTCTCACTCTGATTACCCCCAAAAACTTTGTCTTGAATCAATTCTCCCAAAAATTTAAATGAAAAAATATAAACACTTTTTATATTATATCTCTTACCATAGTGAAAATAATTTTAATCACACCAACTTTATTACTTTATCATTTTGTATAAATGATCTAATTATAGAACGCACGTGAATTCAAAATGATTGACTTAACACTGTACTTTTCAACTGATGTTTCTTTCTCTCCTTCAGTCCAGGTCACATGACCCTAAAGTGGATCACTATCAAACTCATTGTTTTGAATATTAGGTGATGCCATAAACCACTCTTTAAGTTCTCGTTGGTATAATTTAATTAGGTATAATTTAAT